GAAGAAGGCCCCAGCTTTGGTCAGCGGCAGATCCTTTACCCCCCCCTTGCTTGCTGTGCTGCAAAAGCCATTCCCATTGGGGTTTCCCCAGCATAACCACAGCAGAGCACCGCTTCCTCCTGCCTGCTCCTGCTCCCTTGCTGTGAGCTCAGGCGAGCCTGGGCTCCCTCCTGCCTGCGAGTTTGTCCCTGTGGCTGCTGTGCGGTGGTGGCCCCCGGGTACTGCCGGGCTTGGCTCCGCTCTCCCCTTCTTGTGGCTTTCCTCTGCAGACGTTTTCCCCTCTTTCCCCCTCTCCCCAACCCCCTTTTGAAATGTCTTTTTTTCTTTACTTTCACTCTTCTTTTCCCCCTTTTTCCTTCCTTTTTTCTCTTTATTTTTTCCTTCCCTTTTTTTTTTCCTATTTTTTATCTTTTTTCCATTTTTGCCCTTTCCCCTTCCTACCCCCTTTTTCTTTTTTCTTTCTCCCTTTCTCTTTTCCCCTTTTTATCTTTCCTTTCTTCCCCCCCTTTTTCCTTTCTTTCTTCTCCCTGTTTTCTATTTCCTTTTTTCTCTTTTTTCCCTTCCCTCCCCTTTTCTCTCGCTATTTTTTTCTGTCTTTACCTCTTCCCCCTGATTTCCCTTTCTCTTTTTTCTTTTTCTCTCTTTTCTCTCCCTTTTTCATATTTCCATCTTTTTTATCTCTCTTTTTTCCATTTTCCCCCCCAAGCTGTGCTCTTAGGAAGAGGCAGACCCCACGTGGGGGCTCGGTGCCTGTCTCCCACAATAGAGCTGCTGAGCCGGGTGCTGACATCAGCAGGATTTGAGAGGGGTGGGAAGGAAAAAGGCCCTGGAAGCGCTGGGTCCCTCAGGGATGTGTGAAGGACCAAGGCCAGGAAGGGGGATGAGGAACAGACCCACCTCCATTTTGCTCCTGGGGAAGGCAGTGTGTGCTCAACCTCTGTATTAGACACCAGGGACTCCACGCAGGCAGCACGTTGTGGATGTGCACGTATGCTCTGGCAAGTCCATCTGCCCACAGTGGAGGGCAGACTCGCTCAGCAACAGCCATTATTACCCTTTGGTTTCTCCTTCTGGCCTTCGTGGTGCATGGGGAGGACCCCATGACGCAAGGACCACTGGTGACCTCAACCCTCAACGCCACCACCCTTGCCTCTCACTGCAGAGCAGCGTGCTTGGCCTGGCACCTTGTGGCTTTGGAGATCACCTGGACTTCACCAGGCTTGCCAAGGAACCACCCCAGGCAACCCCAGATGCTGGAGGGAGTTGTTGAGCCTATTGAGGTAACCATTACCCCACACAGGCATTGGGAGGAAGGGCCCCAAAGCATCAGGAGCCACCAACTGATGCAATACTTTGGTTTTTCAGTTATTTTTGCTTTTGCAACAGTGATTTCCTTTATTGTGAGCTCTTGCACAAAACAGAGCAGTTACCCAGGCACTAACCCACCAGCAGTGACAAAGCCCCAAACCAACCAACACAAGGAGGATAGCTGGTGTCCCATGTGTGCCACATGGGAGGTAGGCTGTGATAGGGCTCCAAAAACCACACAAGAAGAGATTCAGTGTCCTCTGCATGGGGTGACATGGTGCCCTTCCAGGACACATCACTGAGCTGGCTGCTTTATGAAGAGAGGGGCTTGAAGAATGGGGAAAGACATTACATTTTGATACTTGGCATGGCATCACTGGGATTTGTTTTCTTCTCTCAGCACCTTGGTAGAAAGGGAAAGACATCCCAAGGGGCTAGGAGAAACCCAAGCCTTGCCCTCCTGCAGGCCTGGTTGGCCAGGAGCTGGTGGGACTTTGCAATGTACCACCATAGGCTTTGGCTACTCACCGAGGGCGAGGGCTATCGTTCCTCCAGGCAAGCAACGCTGTCGCCTTGTAACTTGTCAGCCTCTTGACTTGGGGCAGGTATGATCTGAGTGCTGCAGGCAGGTACTTCAGTGATAAAGATCAACCAAGCACCCAGGTGGAGTGATTTTGGATGGGAACACTGGGTCCTGGTTTCAGCCACAGCTGAGATCCTCCAGTTCACTTTTGCTGGAGCAGCTAAATCACGTTTGCACCATCTGCTCACGCTCAGCCTGAATTACCAGTCTCATCTCCCATCCCCATCTTCTCCCCAGCGTGAAGCTCTTGGAAACTGGGTAAACTCTTGCCTGCACATGGATTTGAAAAGGTTTCTAGCAGCTCTATTCCTGCTGCAGCCAAGCTGGGCTGTGGTCCTGCTGAGCTTGCATAGCTCTGAGCCATGTCCATCACCCGAACATGTATTTCTTCTTCATGTATTAGAAATTACCTTCTCTCCCCAGCAATCAGAGAAGCTGTAGGAAGTGTTCTTCGTGTTGTTTCTCCCTGCTTGCCTTGCCTTTTGAGGCCTTCTGGGTGATTTCATACCACCAACTTTGTTGGAAAAGACCTTTAAGATCATTAAGGCCAACCAGAGAAACTTTAACTGAAAGGATCAGAAATCTTTAAATCACAGGAGGAAACATCTCCCTGTGCTTTTTATCCCCTCCAACCACAGAAGGACAAACAGCCTTGGGAGGTGGTGAAGTTTGGCTCACTAACTCCATGACACGGACAAGGTATGAAGCATCATAGCTCTGAAGGTTAAGAGTTCTGGCCAGTCCTGGAGTGCAGGAACACTGTTCCAGAGGCCAGTATAATACTTCAGGACTTGTTGTGAGGGTCCTAAAAGCAGCCAAAACCTCATAGATCAGCTTAACCTGTGGGACCACACCTAGCCAAGGCCTCAAGTGCCTCCTCAGACTTCTCATCCCTCAAAGTCCCAGGACTAAGGCACTTTGCACCCTGATCCAAGAGCTTTCATGTTGTGGGAAGCTCCCTCTTACCTTCCAGGTCTGACCTCCTTCTCCCTTTGCAAGGTCTCTGGCTCCATCTTCTAACCAAGGAAGGAAATCCCAGGCAGAAGTCCACCATGGCACCACCTGGGCTGGGTATCTCTTGGAAGATGCCTGCAGTCTGGCTCTGGCAGCACTGGTTATCAGTTGGATCTTGGCTGGGAGTTCCCTTTGTTTGTCAAGCAGCACCACTCCTGCTGTGTCACACCTTATCTCAACCTGGACTTTGGACAGGGACTTGTACTGCAGACACCCAGGCAAGGAGGAGCTCTTGATGATGATCACCCAACTTGGGCGAGCTCAGAGCTGACTCAAACATAGGCTAAAGCACCAGCAGAAGCCAGGCTGGTTTGCTCCTCTTAGAATCAGAAAGTATCACTCTGGTGGGTCTGCATTGGAAAATTTTGTGCTTCCCAATCCTGTGACCCAGCTGGGTGCCAAGCTGGAGCAAGCAGGCAATGCCTGCCTTTAATGACAAGTTTTAACCATGCAGCATGGCCAGAGAGGGCACATGCTGAGGCAGGCAATGGACCATTATTTCCCTGGCTCCACAGATAAACCAGGCAGCAGCTCAGTGCTCTGCCAAGGAGCTGTGGGGACAGCACAGCTGTTCCGTCCCTGCACATCTGGCCAGAGGAAGGGGCAGCCTGCAACTGCTTGGCCAGAGAAAGCGCCCTGTTTTTACAGGGAAAGCAGCACAAAATCACTGACACGTGCTTGGCTTCTCCTGCTCAGACAGCAAATGCTTGCCAGAAAGCTCCCCAACCCATGGGAACTTGGGTCTGGCACCTAAAATGCAGAGACCAGGTCAGGGAGCTAATGCCTGCAGCAAGCTGCACACTGTGCTGATAAACCCGCTTCCCCCCATCCCTTCTCCCACCATGAGCAGCACAGGGCAGTACCTGCAGAAGGGGTACCAGCTCCCCAAGCACCGGGCTAATGCAGAGGCTGGAGAGGAATCAAATCACTGACCCAGGGGAGGGGAAAGCCCATTTATTTAGGCTCTTTTAATTTGGCACGCACAGAACAGTAACAGTAACGCACTGGAGGCTAAGGGTTTTGGTTTTGTTATTTTTTTTTCTTTTTCTCTACAGACATACAGGAAAACTCTATGCAACTCCCATGTACACATTACACAAAGGAAACAGCTTTAATCAACCACTGGTGAAACATGGAAGCTTTTAAGATCTCTGTAGCTGGCACAGGAATGTTCTCTACCCCCTCCCCCCCCCACCCCATACAAAAGGCATTTCAGGTCAAACTTTCTAGTAGGTGATATTTCCATGCATTTCTACAGAATTAAAGAAGCTAACAGACAAAAAAAGCCCAGATCAAGCCGTATTAGTCAGGCTGATGGGTTCTACTAAGTTAAATCAAGAGTAATTGCAGACAAATGGACCAAGTGACCAAGGACTGGGGCTGAGGATACCACTTTTTAAAGCCGTGGCTCCTCCGCATTGTACTACCCATGGCTGGAGAGCGCTGCTATAAGGATCTGCATTTGTAAAAGCTTCAGAAGCATCCAATCTGCTATAAGTGTGTTATTAGAGAAACTAAGGTCGTTCTAAATGAAACTACGTCAACAGAAAAGCAGTTTTAATAGAATCACTCAGGCTGGAAAGACCTCAAGACACTTCATAACAAGAGAATTGAACCTACAGAACAAGTGAACCTTTAAATACTATCACTGCACCGTGAGTTTACAAGAGAGTGGGTTAGGACTATTTCTCCAGGAAAAAAAGTGTGTCTCATCTCTATTTACCTTCAGAATTAGCCTTTATTAGTGCTGCTCTGCAACTGAAAGGACTAAGAATTTAACCCAGTTTTGGTGCCAACGAGTTGCTTTAGCCAAACCTTTAACTACAGGTTTGAAGTTCTGTACTAAACAGTTAACAGGGGGGAAACGTTTTTGAGTTTGGCAATTTGGCCAGCAGCCTCAAAAAGACCGGCTGAATTTTGCTTGATACAATTTAGAAGAGCAAGAACAGGAACCAGATTGTTCTCACCTCCCCCCCCACTTTCATTCCGGGGTACGGTGCTCCATTGGACCACGATTTTTTGGAGACCTTTAGTGTTAAATCCATCGGGGACATAATTGGGCTGGACAACCAATGCAAATATTAATACACCAAGATAAATCCTTAGATTTGATTTATTTAGGGTCATTTGTACATACGAGCTACATCTCCAAAATCTACTTTATTCTACAAGACAGCTTCCCTACAGTTAGTGGAACCCTGGCCTAGAATAGTTGCTTTACATAACTGATATATTAAAACATGGAATGCTTGTAGAGTTGTGGCACTGTATGACATCTACACGGGACTTCCTTCAAAAGCTACGACTAGGGAGCCTCCTAGCTTCTCAGCAATGCAAGCTCGGTTGAGGTCCTCTGGCCCATTTGCTTGGCATTCATGCTTTATGCCTAAAAAAGAGGCAAAACACTCAATAATGCATTATTATTTCCACGTGCTAGTAATCAATCAAAGAAACACACTTGCTAGTAGTATTAGAAGCAGCAATCTGGTCACTCACGCAGGTAAGCCCTGCCTTAGCTCAGGCATTTGGATGGTTTTGACCTGATATGTCACAGGAGACACCTGGCTGCACACCAGATACCAATGCAGAAACATCAGGGAGAACGTTTTCACTAGCTCAGTGCTGTTGGTCTTCTCACTGCAGGCTGTCTCACAAGCAAAGCTCTCATTTCTAGTGCTACCCTGACGATGGCAGGGGAGGGAGCTACACGCAAGCACACTAAGATGGCTGACTCAGCTTCTGCTGGCTCTGGGGATGTGGGTGAAAGAATCAGAGTGAGAATCTGAGATGTAAAGATGAGAAAGGCTTTGCTGGTGTAAGTGAAGGGAGGGAGGGGCAGGGAGCCCAACACCCAAGCCTGTCTTATGTGAAGAAAAGCAGAATTTCTTCAGGATTCCTTTTTTCCTAACTCCCACACATGCAGCACACAAGTCTCACCACAGGAAGATTTGGGCTGGAAGGGACCTTAAAGCTCATCCAGTTCCAGCCCCCTGACATGGGCAGGGACACTTCCACTGGACCAGGTTGCTCCAAGCCCCTGTGTCCAACCTGGCCTTGAACACTGCCAGGGATGGGGCAGCCACAGCTTCTCTGGGCACCCTGTGCCAGGGCCTCAGCACCCTCACAGGGAAGAATTTCTTTCTCATGTCTCATCTCAATCTCCCCTCTGTCAGGTTAAAGCCATTCCCCCTTGTCCTGTCCCTACAGGCCCGTGTGAAAAGCCCCTCTCCAGATTTCTTGTTGGCCCCTTCAGGCACTGGAAGCTGCTCAAAGGTCTCCCTGGAGCCTTTTCTTCTCCAGGCTGACCCAGCCCAGCTCTCTCAGCCTGGCTCCAGAGCAGAGCTGCTCCAGCCCCTGCAGCATCTCCGTGGCCTCCTCTGGACTCACTCCAACAGCTCCATGTCCCTCCTGTATTGGGGGCCCCAGAGCTGAATGCAGCATTTCCAACCCACTGGCTGGCACTGCTGCACAATGATCCCATCAGGCCAGCACACTGCAAGCAGTGCTGTCTGCCTACACACCAGACTGACTTTGCATGAAATTTCTGAATGCTGCAGCAAGGTATTTACTCCTTGGCTATTGGTGCCTGACAGAAGAACTTTGCTTCTCCACTTGGAGATGCGATGCCTTTTGAAATGAGCAATCCCAACTGCATCTCTAAAGCAATCATTAATTACTACTACTGCAGCACAGTAAATTTAGGAGATTGTGTATTTCATCAGACACAGGGCTGAGAGTCCTCTGCCACAGAGGCAGGTCTGCACAAAATCCAGTTCTGTGTTAGGAATCTAATGGTTTCTAGTCTGTGGGGTGCAGATGTGCTGCTCTGTATAGTACAAATACAGTGTCACACACTGCTAAGCCTACTCTTTCCTGTCCTGAGCATAGCTCTAGTGCCTCTACAATTCAGAGACAGACAGTGTAGGGTTTAGCCAGATCTCATTTTAGCTCTGTCACAGGATGTTTCGCCTATGAAGCTCTCATGTCTCACTAGCTCCTCAAAAAAACCAATCCCAGACCAATTAGCCAACAGTTAAGCCTCGCTGTGCAAGCACTGTAGGAGCACGGCACGTGTAGGAGCATCAGATGTATTACATACCTTGAAACTTCTTTTTGATTGCATCCTTGGAGCTTGCGTAGATCATCTTGCTTTTGAGAGGTGCTTGTTCTGGTGCCCTAATGGGATACACCAGAAAGAGTGCAGTTAGTGACATTTATTATCCAGCAGAGAGAGCAGCAGTATCCTAGGGATGACGAGCAAGTGAAATGTCTCATGGCTCAGAAAACAGGCTCACTTTAAGCCTGCCATTTCTCAGAGACCTCGCCCACAGTGCTTGGACTGCATGCTAGGAATGAGGGAGCTGGGAAGATGGCTTACCACAAGAAAAACATCAGCTCTTCTTTTTTGGATTCCTTGGTCTCGAAGCTTGCATCATACAAGGCATAACGGCAATCCTTCTCGGGAAGCATCTGCACAAAGTGCTTGAAAGGGTCGGTAACCGTCACACCGACATCTCCCACCAGAATCTCTTTGCCTTCTTCCACAATAATGCACTTTTTATCTGGACTGAGGCAGAAGATGACAGCCTTCTTCCTCTTCTTGATTTCCTCAGGCGTAGAGCACTTCCGCACTTTCATGTCATAGAAAATACGGCATACCTCATCAGCAACTTGTACTCCAGATGCCTGCAAACACAAGAGCAAAGACCTTTAGGGCTAGCACTGCAAAGTTTCACAACTCCTTTACCACACTGCCTTCAATCCCGGGGCTAGAAGACAACCGACACTGGCAATAGTCACCAGTGGCCTGAGAGTCTCGTCAGGAAAGGCTGCAGGCCCTCTTTTTCCAAGCCAAGCAAAGAATCCGGAGTCTCGAAGCTGCCCACAGGCAGCTGCCAAACCAAAACTATTCCGAAGAAGGCACAATCCTACTTATACTAGAGCCTTATTTTTGGGGTAGTTTCACACACGTCCACCCCTTGTCCTCCGAGATTCAGTTGTGACAAATCCTTTGGCATTAGAGCAGTGGGATTTTGTTACCCATTTCAGGCTGACTAGACAACCAAGTCCATGAGAATCTTCCGTTCAAAAGTGTCCTAGCCATGTCTAGCATGCCCGCTAGCAGCTTTAGGAACAGAGGTAAAACGTGGCCAAATTCCACACTTGTCACATGGACTTGGCTTAGAGATGAAGAGAGATGTTGTGTGGGGCACTGGGACTGCAGTGGTATGTTTTTTAGCTGAACAAGCCAACTTTCAGAAGCTGTTCTGAATTCAGTGTTCTAAAGGGAGAAGAACTTGCAAGACTAACAGTTAAAAGTGTCTATTTGCCAGCAATTCCTCAGTGTTTCAAAGTGAGCTGCCTGCCTTTTCATCCTTTTCCCCTTGAAGTCTGATGGGGGATTCTAGGTACTTTGTGGTGTATCTTCCTGTCCTAGCTGTAATGGGAGGTGCAGATGCAGCATCACCAATCTGATGTTAAAGGCACACAGAATAAAGAGGACAAAGACCTAGCGAGAACGACAAGAGGCTGAACTGCATTTTCAGTCTGTTGCTTTTTTGGGAATGAGACAAAAAAAGGTGGCAGGATAGAAGCATTTGTATCTGTGTTTTGTTATCAGAGTGCAGCAAAGACAGAGAGCTTAAAAAGCAACTGTGTAATAGCAAATATGGGAAGTCATGCTGGAAGGACATCCTGGCCAGAGCAGTAAGGACCAAACCGAAGGCTGTCCAACACTTACTTGTCTGTTCAAAACCCTGCACACAGTGTAAACAGTGAGATTCCTTTCTCATACTGCTTCTTCCCCTGCTGGTCTTCCAAATCCAAATGATTTTATCCTCAGACATGGTAATTCGTACCACAGAAGGAAAAATGGCCGTCCTCCCTTTGTGTAAACTCCCACGCATCACTGTTAAAGCACAGTCAGCACTACTACAGAGTCAGGTAAAGCATTATGAGAGAGACACCAATGGAAAAAGAGTAAAGGTTGAAAAGGATGGACTGTTCTTTACTTTGGTTTTCCTTAAGCTGAGGCCCAAAACATGTGTTTGATGCATTCACTGGTGGTGGTGAGGGAAGCATCGTACCTTGCCAGAGTGAAAGTGTTCTAAAGGCACAGCAGAGTTCACCTGCAAAACCAGGGGGGGTTAGGGGTGCTCAGTGCTAGCTTTCTAACAGGTTGTCCTTGGGAGATGGTTACTGACTGGACAACTACTTCATGTACATTCTTTTCTTAAAGCCTTGACCAGTGCCTACCTTGCAGGACCTCAGAGAGTCCTTTTCCTACCAACATGTCTCCTTCTGTAACTTCCAGTGGCTTGCATAGCTTTGCCAACCCAGCGAAGAGAGATGGCACAGCTGGCAGCAACTATCACCATGGAGCTTGACAGCAAGTGTTGGTCATGCAAAACCAGGGCAATCTCCTACAGCAGTGAATCTGAGACAGAAGCTTTTCTCTAGCACGGAGCACAGTGTTCTTTAGGGGGTTACTCAAACACAGGGGGACCTCCCTCAAGATTTCTAATGCATGGCTTCCTTATTAGTGGTAATCTATCCAGAATCCACTGCACTTTGGGACAGGTGAACAGGGAGAAAGTCACTGTGCCTGGCAGACAGCCACCCTCACACTTATCACCAATAAGGCAAAGAAAGTAAGCGGAGAGAGCCCATTCCAGGAAAAGTCCAAGCAAAAGGGCAAACATGGACTCAAAGTGACTCATTCCTGTGTCACCTCCTTCATAGGGAGAGACTTGCACTTTGTCAGAGCATGATACAGAACTAATGTGGAAGAAAGGTCTTTCTCTTCCTCTCCCTTGGTGTGGACAAGAGCTCTCTGGGAAGATGAGGTTGCCCTAATAAAGCAAAGAGTGCAGCAACTAGAACTCCTGCATCATTCACCAAGGACAAATCTGCACTGAACTCAAGACAACCTTTATTTCCCTGATGTCTGTCTTCTATATAATGGCACCTCAGTAGCTGGCAACAGGTATCAAGACTCAGTTTTTAGTCACAAAGCCCTTAAAAGTCTAAGTAGAGAATGCTTAGAAAGCCTAGGAATGCATCTAGTAATTGCCTAAAATAGCCCTACTTTTGTCACTTCTTGATCTTTGCTCCAAGACCACAACAACTAGAAGTCAACTTTGGAAGAAGAGGTTAATGCTCATCAGAGATGCAGAAGCAAGGAGCAGCAACAGAGCTGCAGGTTGATGCAAACTCTGCAGTCAGAGAGCATATGCATGTGCTACTGCACGGCCAGAAACATGTCTCCAAATTGGGAAACAAGTTGTTTCCTTATAAAGAAACTGAGCACTGCTGGCAAGTCAGTTCAGATTCCAAAAATCTGGAGAGTATTTAGTCTGGAAACTCAAAATTCACTGTTAAACTGCAGCTGATAACTGGGACTGACCAGAAACTGAAGGGGCAGGAGTAACAACTGGATTTTCTTCTCAGCTTTCCAAAGCAAAATGCTGTTAGTAGCTGGCGCTGCTCCTTCTCACAGCTGCTGTACAACCCCTGGATTCAACACACAGGATGACATTAGCAGCCACTATATTGCTAGGGACAATGCAGATTTTTTCCATCTCAGAAAGCGCTATAGCTGTGTCACAGCATGGGCTGAAATGAACCCATAAGCTCCCAGTGCAAATAACTGCTTCCACAAAGGGGATCTACTTTTGTAACTGTGGGACTCCCTCTTCAACCGTGGGCTTGTACCAGCCATTGCTGGCTTCATAAACATACTTAAAAAGGAAACAGAAAAAACCCCAAATCCTAGGAAGGTTTTGTTGGATGGTGGCTGCAACCACTGTGTGTAGGGCAGCAAGAGGATGAGTGTTCAGAGCAGAGGAACAAGCTGAAATGCCACACTCAAATATACATCCTCAACCAACATTTTGACCATGTCTCTGCTGGTCTGCCCAGAAAAATAGCTGGTGAGAAGCCTCCACCCCACCAGCAATGACAGAATGTTTACTTGTTCTTCTGCAGAAGAGAAGGCTCCAAGGACACCGTAGAGCAGCTTCCAGTGCCTAAAGGGGCCAACAAGAAAGCTGGAGAGGGGCTTTTGACAAGGGCCTGTAGGGACAGGACAAGGGGGAATGGCTTTAACCTGACAGAGGGGAGACTGAGATGAGACATTAGGAAGAAATTCTTCCCTGTGAGGGTGCTGAGGCCCTGGCACAGGGTGCCCAGAGAAGCTGTGGCTGCCCCATCCCTGGCAGTGTTCAAGGCCAGGTTGGACACAGGGGCTTGGAGCAACCTGGTCTAGTGGAAGGTGTCCCTGCCTGTGGCAGTGGGGTTGGAACTGGATGAGCTTTAAGGCGCCTTCCAACCCAAACCAGTCTGGGATTCTGCGATACGAGAGTGTTAGTCTGGATTTTCTCCTTCTGGCCCAGTTATCGCTCTGCTCAGAGGATTCAATACAGCACATTCATTATTATTTTGTGCATTCTGGCTTGAGCACCAGAGAGTTAGAACAGCTAACCTGGTTCTGCTCCTTTTTCAGCATGAAAGCAAACTGGACTGGTGCATAGTTTAAGGTTGGACTTGACGACCTTAAAGGTCTTTTCCAACCTAGCTGATTCTATGATTGTATCGGTGGCTGTTCATTGAATTGTACATGTTCACAGCTACTTTTGGGATACTCGACCACCAGCTGGTGATGTTTTAAGGGACAGATCAACCCATAACACAGACAACATCAACTTATAGCCGTTCTTGGGACACAACTGCAGAGAAAAGACCACTTTCAAGTAGCCAGCCTGTTTCTAGAGGTGTTGAAGACCTTAACTGCAAACCACCCGATTATCAAATGGGAAAATGATGCTAGTACAGCATCTTCAGGGAGACATTCTAGCAAGAATGGACAAAGTTTCTCTGAGGGAATCAGCAAAAATGAGATAAGTCTCCCGCCCCCACCTCCATGCAGCTATTGCAAAGGCAGTGTCTTGTGGGCAGCGTGGCCTCATATATTATTCTGAAGCACTTCCACCAGTATCCCCATTGTGTTTTCATACAGACTGCTGTAGGCACATGAGGTAATGGTTGCATTAAATGCCTCGTCAGCATGTGCTGCAGTAACACAGTGGCTCTTATTCCCCACACAAAGACACCGTTCCTGCTTTAAGTGCAAAGCACTGCAGAAGCCTTGTGAGAACAGAATGCTCCACGGGCCAGCCCAGAGAGAGAGCCTTCTGTCTAGCCAGCTTCCAACTGTAAGAGCCATCCCCAGCTGCCTCCACTAAGAACTTCCAGCAGCTTGCCTCTACCACCAATTACATTTCCACAACTGAAATTTAATCTAAATGAAGGAACACTGAAGAATAAGCTTTCTCAAGACAGTCCCCAGCTACAGAAAGTCACTTCAGGAGTGAGACACATGCCAGACACCTGATAAACTGGATTTGTAGCAAGGCTGCACTGAAACACAACTTTGAGACAATGAAATTCGCTTCCTCTTTTGTTGGAAGTGCTATGAATTTCAGTATTTTCTTTGAATATTTAAAATATTTTACCTAGAAAAAGTCCTTTGTTCCTTCCTTGACTGTAAGACACCCAAGAAGACTTTAAATTAATGACTTAGTTTGCCTCAGGACAAGTCTGAAAGCCTGGATTTGATTTTAAGGATTGACAACTGTACAGTCTGGGTTTTGCTTCCTGTGATCAGAGCCCTCCATAGCAGTGCCAGTGCATGTGTTATCTACAGAGTTGATTGGCTTGTTTTGTTTGGGAACTATGCACACACATTGCATACACCAGTGTGGACTGTCTATAGCTACTCAACTGGAAACTTTTGCTCCTTGGAAAAGCATCATCAATTTTTCCAGAATTGACACTTAGACTTATTAAAGTATGCCTTGTCTAACTGTAAAGGGAGATTTGGGTGCTCCCATGTTTGCTAGTCACATTACTGTCCTCTATGTGGGTCTCAGTTTCTTCAGCAAACACCTTGTTTCCCCTATGCTGGGCACACCACCCCTCATATCTACCTTCAAAATCCACTGCTGCTGCCAGAAGTGCCTGTGTAACCATGTGGCATTTCCATCTGACTCAGAGATGTGTCATGGTTCATTCCTGTGACAAATACTTCTTCATTTAACCTATTACCACCTGGCTGTTGTGGGACAGCTGCCTTCAGAAAGCTGTCCCTTATGCTGCCACGCAATTCCCTGGGACGTCATCAGCACCTAGACCTAGGTTTTGTCAAATCAGGCCTCTGAAAAGTTGTTAGCTGTGGCCCACAAGCCAACTGAAAATGTGGGTGGATCTTAAATACTGCTTTGCTTTCATCTGTTATTTGAGCACCCAAGAAAACCCATCTGACTTTATCACCCCACCTTACTAAGAAAGGAGGAAATGCATGGAGTGACTAGTTTAACATCACCCCAAAAACCAGCACTGGCATGGGAAAGCCACAGATTGGTTCGGCCCGGAAGGGACCTCAAAGCTCATCCAGTTCCAACCTCTGCCACAGGCAGGGACACCTCCCACTAGACCAGGTTGCTCCAAGCCCCTGTGTCCAACCTGGCCTTGAACACTGCCAAGGATGGGGCAGCCACAGCTTCTCTGGGCGAAGGAGACCAGTGACTTCCCAAGGCTCTGTAGGCCCATGTCCTCTGCTGCCTACAGACAGCCACCTCTGCTTACGCCAAGGCAGCTGAAAGTCCAAAGCTTGAATTCAGATCTGCAGCATGATAGGAAACATAACTAACTGCCTTTTTACTGCTGTTGTGTAAGAGGCCATTATTTGCACATCATAAACCAGCAAGAAGTACAGAGTTATTTGCATATCACTTGTAGGCAGGTCTTGCCAGCCTGACTTGAGTTTTTTTAGTTTGCATTACTTTTCCTCTTTCTTTTTTCTGGGGTGAAGGAATCAAAATTCTATTCAGCTTCCCCCCCCCCCCCTGCACCTACGAGAAAGGTTATTGATTAGATGAGGAGAGATGAGTAAGGCAGCAACTATTAAAAAAAAGGCAGAGAAAACGTCTCCCCTGAATTCTTGCAGGTCACTTCCTCAGCTTTCAGCCAAAGAGGAAATTGTCACCTTCTTAGAGCTGCCATGAAGTTCACTCCCCATACAACTATCAAGGTGAGCAGAACAAGCAAATACCCACAAAAGGCAATCCCAGCAGCACTGCTGAAATACAGGAACCATGGTAGACAATAATAGGGCAGAATTTTTGAGCAGGATCCATTCCCGTGTTGAAACTCACGTTTTTAAGGCAATGAGGGTAATAAGCTGATATGAAACAGAACTCTTGCAGGAAAACAAAGCTTCTTAGAAATGCATTCAGCACAGAAATCAGCTATTATGAGCTGAAGTGACTGTAGGTATTTTCCTGTGGCCCCCCAGCCATATACAGCAGCCTAAAGCTTAAATCTCACCCTTAAAAACAGGCTCTGAAGGCCTGCTCTGGGCATTCCAGATACTCATTACTGAAGTATCCTTCCTGGAGATGGCTGTGCATGCTGAACAGTCAGTTGAGCAGCAGGCTCTGAACTGCTTTACAGGCAAGTCGTGGCTGTCTGCAGGCTCTCCTGCATGAGTTGGCTTTGGTCAGTCCTTGCTCCCAGCAGGAGCCTCTTGATAGTGATGTTCTGACAAAGCAAGTAGGAACACGCCAGACACCCACACTACCAATTGTCACAAGCCTGTCATCTTGTATATGAGGCGTATGTACCTTGTAATTACACAGATTTGGGAACAGTATTGACTAACAACCAAGAAAAATAATTTGCATGGTCCTCCAAAGACTAAGGACTCATTTAATCCAGTAGCAAAGAAACTGGCCTTGTGGCAAGACACAAAAGCAGAAAATCCAGTGCTCTTTTGATACCAAGTGATGCCCTCCTGCTGGCACTGCTGTACTTTGCCAGAAGGCCTACACTCTTTGCCCAAAAGCAAATTCATCTGCAGCAACTAGAAAGCATTTTAAAAAAGCCAATCCAAACCGTGTTCCAAAAAGGAGATCACTATGAGAAATACCACTTCTGACTGACTGGGGAATTCTCTGGTTCGGAAGCAAGATGTAGCCTGACACAGTGAGTAGTCACTCTAAACTAGGTTTGCGTACTGCAGAGGTGGTAGTCAGCTTGTTCAGACAAGCCTATTTTAAACAAGAGCTGCAAGTCTCGTCAGACTTTCAGTGGCTTCCTCTGCAACTCTCCTTAGCTCCTGCTCCACGCTGCAGACCAGTCACAGAGGCTTCAAACTTGGGTGTTATAGGAAGCAGGGAGATTAGAAGCACATCCTGTCTGTGGGCCGACACACACTAAACATTTATTTACTGGATATGCCACATGTAAAGAAACTAAGGGTAAATACCATGGCAAGGGCTCAATAGGTAACCCCCCTACTAAAGGGAAGTAACCTAAGCAACTGTGTTAAAACACACAGATGTGTGCTGCTGCACAAATGCTTGTGTAGGACTCGAGCAAAAGCAGGACAGCAGTTAAAACTGTATGAACTAGTAATTCCACTTTGTCAGTGTCAGTAGCCCAAGTTAAACGGGGAGACAAATGTTTAATGTAGGCAAACCAAACAGAAAGTGAACCAACATGAATCCCAGACTGGTTTGGGTTGGAAGGGACCTTAAAGCTCATCCGGTTCCAATCCCCTGCCATGGGCAGGGACACCTTCCACTAGAGCAGGTTGCTCCAAGCCCTGTCCAACCTGGCCTGGTAACAAATGAAGCATAAACAGATGTTTGGTCTGTTCTGCCCCATTTATGAAAGGAGTCCCCTGGGGCTTTTTAGAACGCCAGAGAAAACGGGCATCTGTACGTTTAATACATTTCCTCTGTTCCCAACATTATATCTTCTCCATCTCTGTGCAGAGAACACAAAAGTCTCCAATCCTTGCGGCAAGCACCTTAAAATTTAGGCTTATCCGAGCGGCCGCTGCAAAAAAACGCGTGTTTGTTACGACCGAGCGCTTCCTTCCGCGGGTTTTGCTTCCCCTCTTTTGTCTGCGGGCTCCAGCACCGGGGCCCTGTGTGCCTCAGCCGCCCCGCTCCGCCGAGGAGCCGCCGCCGTTTCTAGGCCAGGCCCGAAGCCCCTCGGCTCTGTGGAAGATGGCTCCCGCCTGGACCGCACGGCGGAGCGGATGCGGCCGAGACCGCGCTTCCTCCCGGTGGGGATCCACCCCACCACCCCATATCGTGGCCCTGCTGCCAGGCTCCGACCTGCTCCTCAAGCAGCCCCTCGGGGGAGAAGCCACCGCCTCCCCCCCACCACGGCCGCGCCCTGCGGCACGGGGAGGGGCGGCGCATCGCCCCGCTGCGTCCGTGTCCCCCCTCCGAATCTTCCCGCCTCGATCGTTCTCTTCACCGCTCCCCCCTTTCCCCGCGTGAAATGGACGCGCCTGCCCCTAGCGCCTGTGTGCGGCGCGGAGCGTACCATCGCCTCACGGGGGGAGGACAGAGAGAAAAGGACAGTTCCATCGCTTCAAGGGGGGGAGTAACCTTCCGCCGCCTCATGGCGGGATGGAGGCGGGGGGGGGGGAAGGGAGGAGAACGCATCCGCCGCCTCAGGTTCAAAGGCGAACGGAAAGGAGCGGGGAGATGGACGGAGAAGGAAAGGAGGGGCGCGATGCCGTCGTGCCCGGAGCGCAGGCCGGGATGCGGCGGGCGGGCGGGCGATACCAACCACCCCCCTTTCCCCGGGGATGAAAGAAGAGGGCATGGGGGGGGGGGGGAGTGCTAGGCGGAGAAGCCGCCCAACTCCCGCATCCCCGGAGGCGCCCGCTCCCTACCATGGTGTCGTTGGGACGCTGCGGGCGGCGGAGCGCGGTGCGGCGGCGGCGGCTGCTCCCTCGGATGCTGGGCGCGGCGCGGGCTCCGGCAGCAGGAAGGGAAGCAGCGAGGGCGCGAGCCGGGCGGAAACGCTGCGACGTCACGGCCGGAGGAGGAAGCGGTTGCTATGGTGGGAGCCCTGCGTGGCAACGCCCCGGGACCTTCCTCCTCCTCCTCCTCTTCTTCTTCCTCCTCCTCCCTCCGCACCTCGCCTGGCGCCACAAGCACACGTGTATCCGCCCGCACCCGGTGCAGGGACAGAAACCCAAGCACCCACAGACACCCCCCCCCCAAAAACGTGGCCAGGATGGGGTGCGCTACCCAATCACAGGGGGAGCCGCCGGCTGATTGACGGCTGTCAGGCGCCAGCCGGCCAATCGCGGTGTCCCTTTGTGCGAGGTGTGGGCGGGATTACCTGCCTCAAGGTGTGCTGCCGGGGGGGGGGGGAAGGATGCGCTGAGGGAGCGTTGCGGGGGTCAGGGAGCCGTCGGGGAAAGGGCGAGGGGAGGTGGCCAGGGCGGGGAGGGGGGGCACGAAGAGGATTTGAGGCGGTGGGAGCGGGGTGAAAGGGGCTGCGGGGGTCCTGAGAGGGTGGCATGGGGTGACCATGGCCTTGATGCGAGGAGGGGGAGGCGGGCTGTGAGGGAGCAGATGGGGCGGGCGGGTGGGCGGAAGAGCTGTGGAGGAGGAAGTGTGGGGCTTTTCTCTTGTCTTTTTTTTTTTTTTTTTCTCATTTATTTAATTATTTTTAGGGTTTTTTCAATACCTACTTTGGTGCGATCTCAGTCAGGCACTCCTGATTGGCTCAGCGCGTCCGCCCTCGCTGCTGCAGCAGCAGCAGGAAGCGCTGTGCGGCTCTCCCCGGCGGCACCAGCACCAGCAGCAGCAGCGTTCGCGTCCCCGCTTCAGTCAGAGCCGAGACTGGCTGAGACAATGCACGGTTTGTCCTCGGGACGAGGCTGACAAACGCCGCTGCTGGAGGCGGGAGGGGAAGAGGGGAGAGGCTGCGGCTCCGTGTTTGTTGCAGCGCTGGTGAATTAAATGATACCAAAATACTATATTCTAAACGTTATGGGCAGTGAAGCTTAGGGGTTTTGTAATCAGATTACAGAAGCACCTGCTGATGTTAATTAATTTACAGGATGTTCGGTTTCATTACTGGATCCTGCCTGCAGTGATGGTCCTGGCTTGCACCAGCTAAGCACCCCTGGCATCAAATGTATTTATTCATGGAATTGTAGAACAGAGCCACAGACTGGTTTGGGTTGGAAGGGACCTTAAAGCTCATCCAGTTCCAAGGCCCTTCTACGGTCAGGGACACCTTCCACTGGACCAGGTTGCTCCAAGCCCCTGTGTCCAACCTGGCCTTGAACACTGCCAGGGATGGGGCAGCCACAGCTTCTCTGGGCACCCTGTGCCAGCGCCTCAGCACCCTCACAGGGAAGAATTTCTCCCTAATGTCTCATCTCAATCTCCCCTCTGTCAGGTTAAAGCCATTCTCCCTTGTCCTGTCCCTACAGGCCCGTGTGAAAAGCCCCTCTCCAGATTTCTTGTCGGCCCCTTTAGGCACTGGAAAAGCTGCTCCAGGGTCTCCCTGGAGCCGTCTCTTCTCCAGGCTGATTTATTGAGTCTCTTGTAAGCAGAAAACAAAGCCAAGACTGGACTGTGTGTTTTCAGGGCTGGGGTATAAGGCAGCAGTACTTCATACCAGGTTACAGCTAGTCTAAAGCTTCAATATGAAAGGTGTGAGCCATGCCTAACAGTTTTTACCCATATTGCTGTTGTAATAAAGGACTTTTCCCCTCCTTGCAGCATACCCCAGTATATGCCCTTTTATAGATGCTGTTACACCTATTCACATTAGGTAGAAGCTGCTGAAAGACCCAATAACCATGTACAGAAACAACACTCCTAGTTCATTCTGCTTTCGTGCTGGGTGGCTTTCACTGGCCAGGGGTCCCTTTTGCAAGAGCATTTGCATCAGATTTGTGGTGAGACTGGCAAAAGACCTACCAGTACGACTTAGGACTTAATATTTTGGGTGGTGAGTAGCTCTTCCTTAAGCTCTTCTGGTTTAATCAAGGAATGATTAAATTTGGAGCAAAGTCTTAATTTACTGTGAGGGTTTTTTGCTTTGAAAGAGGGGTACAGAAGTCAGATCCTGGGGAGGAAGGGAAGGGATGATGTAAGGCCATGAGAACAGGGCTGGGGCTGTTTCACTTGTATACTTATAAGGGAAAATGAATTTGGAGCTGGCCTGTTGGCTCAGGCTGTTCTGAGACGTCTTGTGTTTTTGGAAACACTGCAGTGGGTTGCGAAGGTATCTGACAAGTTAAAGGAGCCTCAGCAAGGACAAACTTCATCAGCTGAGTAAGGGAGACCTTTCACTTGTTTCTGTTTCACAGGAAAGATGTGCTTGGTCTGGGAAGGGCACTTACCAAGAACCTGTCATAGTTTTTAACTACAAATCATCAAAACCAATGTTTCATTCCACAAATGACAAAACAATGTAGCCCAGTAAGGCATAAAGTCTGGCTGTGCTGCTTTGAGGGAGCTAGAAGCAGGAGCTGTGCAGAGAGATGATTATGGTGGTACCAGCCTGCCTTAGCACAAGACTCCACGGGCTCTATGTGCTGTACCAGCATGGCACTGGGAACTCCACCGCTGCACCAGGACCTGCCTGATGGTGATGAGCAGTATGTTTGTTACAGATTGGGAACCCTGATGGGATGTAAATGCTGTGCTGCTGTTTGTGTAGGGGAAGGGGAGTCTTTTTATTCCAGCCACAGAATCACAGAATCTCGGACTGGTTTGAGTTGGAAGGGGCTTAAAAGCTTATCCAGTTCCAACCGCTGCCATGGGCAGGGACACCTTCCACTAGACCAGGTTGCTCCAAGCCCGTGTGTCCAACCTGGCCTTGAACACTGCCAGGGATGGGGCAGCCACAGCTTCTCTGGGCACCCTGTGCCAGGGCCTCAGCACCCTCACAGGGAGGAATTTCTTCCTAATGTCTCATCTCAATCTCCCCTCTATCAGGTTAAAGCCATTCCCCCTTGCCCTGTCCCTACAGGCCCCTGTCAGAAGCCCCTCTCCAGATTTCCTGTAGCCCCTTTAGGCACTGGAAGTTGCTCTAAAATGTCCCTGGAGCCTTCTCTTCTCCAGGCTGAACCAGCCCAGCTCTCTCAGCCTGGCTCCAGAGCAGAGCTGCTCCAGCCCTCCAGAGCATCTCCATGGTCTCCTCTGGGCTCACCCCAGGAGCTCCACATCTGTGTTGTTGCCCCCAGAGCTGGGCACAGGGCTGCAGGGGGAGTCTCACCAAAGCAGAGCACAGGGGCTTCTGTGCTTCTGTGCTTCTGTGCCACTCCTCCTTCAACCTGGTGATCACACTGCTGGGGATGCAGCCCAGACTGCTTTCTGTGCTCCCAGACTTCACAACCTGCTCCTCACATGCCTCTGACCCGAAGCATCACCCCAACCATTTGCAGCACTGCACTTTCCTTCAGAGAGGACTAGCAACAGCCTCCTCCTGCTAGAGCATGTATCTGTTGTCTTGGTGCCTGAACCAAGGGGAAAACTCCCTGTTTTGGGAGGGAATTTTGTTGCTTCCTTTTACAAGCTTCCTTTCCATCAGTCCTGCCCTTTTGATGGAACAGGGGCCTGGGGTAGAGAGTGGAAGAAATGGTGCCTTGTGGCTCATTGCCATGCTCCACTGACCCTTGCATGGTGTACTGCTAATGCATGCCTGCTACTGCCAGCTCCATAGTGAGGTTAAAGGCTTCTCAGAGTGAGACTTCCCCCTTTGCCCGCAGAGTTTTAGTGCAATACAAGGTTGTTGCGAAGAAGGAAATGAATGCTGTGGATCATTACAGCATTGTGGAGACGGAGGGGTTTTTACTGTCTTTGTGGCTTTCAGCACTGAATAAGTTTTGTCCTTTTTTTCCTAGCATTAGCGCTATAAATAAGCTAGGCTGAAAGCTCAGGCTGGATGTCTGCATGAACCATCTGGGAAGGTGAATCCTTCTTCTTCTCTTAAGCCAAAATGCATTTGTGATTAACCTAAAACTTCCACCCCACCAAAATCCATCCCCCAGCTATGGGGGAGCCCATGGAATTTCAGCAGTCCTGTAGCTGCTGCTACTGCTTTGGCTCTGGTCTGACACACTGGCGTGAATGGAGCCAACAGGCATCTGCCGAGTGAAAGACTGCATCAAAACCCAGCATGGACCATCTCAAAAGTCACTGTGGACTCCTGTCTGTGAATGAGACCCTGCATCAACTGAAACCAAAGATCAATACATCCACCTTGCTGACTTTCTAGCGTTTGAGACGGTGACTGCTTGCTTACTTTATATGCCTTAGCTATTTGAACTCCCCCTCCCGCCCTCCAAGCTACTGACTCATTTCCTCCTCTCTAACCTTCCTTTTTTAGCCTTTCACTCTGAAGTATTTGGTGGCTGGTTTGAGCCGCCTGCTCCATGCCTTACTTAGGCAAACTCCTACATGACAACCATGCAAGCCTTGCTTTTCTGCCGTGGAAATTGGGTTTTGTCTCCCCAATACTTTACATTCTGAGGGGCAGATTTAGCTACTGACTGTGCTCTGAGGCAAATTGCTGCTTTGCTGCTGGAAACTGAGGAGGCAGACAGTTGGCAAAGAAGCTGGTGAGCCGAGAATGTGGCTGCTCGTGCTAAGGGTTGTTGTCACCCTGTCAGCCCTGCTTCCCCCATCTGTCTGCACCCACCTCATGTCTTGTCTTCCCCTTTCACCCTGATCACACAGTTCAAGTAGGGATCACAGAATCACAGAATCCCAGACAGGTTTGGGTTGGAAGGGACCTTAAAGCTCATCCAGTTCCAAACCCCTGCCATGGGCAGAGACACCTTCCACTAGAGCAGGTTGCTCCAAGCCCCTGTGTCCAACCTGGCCTTGAACACTGCCAGAGATGGGGCAGCCACAGCTTCTCTGGGCACCCTGTGCCAGGGCCTCAGCACCCTCACAGGGAAGAATTTCTTCCTAATGTCTCATCTCAATCTCCCCTCTGTCAGGTTAAAGCCATTCCCCCTTGTCCTGTCCCTATAGGTCCTTATAAAAGCGCCTCTCCAGATTTCTTGTTGGCCCCTTCAGGCACTGGAAGCTGCTTGAAGGTCTCAGTGGAGCCTTCTCTTCCCCAGGCTGACCCAGCCCAGCTCTCTCCGCCTGGCTCCAGAGCAGAGCTGCTCCAGCCCTCAGAGCATCCCCCATGGCCTTCTCTGGACTTGCTCCATCAGCTCCACGTCCCTCTTGCATTGTTGCCCCAGAGCTGGGCCCAGGACTGCAGGGGAGGTCTCACCAGAGCAGAGAAGAGCAGAGGGGGAGAATCCCCTCCCTTCATCTGCTGCTCACGCTCTGGGGATGCAGCCAAGGGCACGGTTGGTTTCTGGGCTCAAGCGCACACTGAAGCTTGGTCATGGGGAGCTTCTTGTCACCCACTACCCCAAGTCCTTCTCCTCGTGGCTGCCCCATCCAGCCTCCCCCATCCTGTAGCTGTGCTTATGCAGGACAACCACCCCACAACCACAGAGCACCCGGACAGCAGGATCAGGCTCTGTCTTCATGTCCTATATCATGCAGCAGAGGAACAGCCCATGCCCCTTGTGCAAGGCCTGATGCGGTGGTGGCTCTGAGCGTTGGTCCTGGGTGATGGCTGCTGCTGTAACCACGCTGTCTCAGTGTGCCTGTGATGCAGTCCGTTTTTCTCAGGGCTTATGGAATATTGGCTCTGTGCTCTTGGCGTCGCAAGGCTCAGCAAAGATAATTTTAGACAGGAACAGAAAGTCTCTGTAAACCTTACAGTCATCGCTCTGCCACTGGCAGAAGCAGAGCCATGAGCAGCCCATTGCTCTGCACGGCTGAAACACGCTGCTTAGGAGATGCACAGGAGTACAAATCTGAAGGGGAATTTTGAGGAAGGAGGGAATCCTGATGGTGATTTCCAAACCCCTCTGTGATGCTCCATGCCTTGCTCCATGAGGAAGCGGTCTGGCACAGCTGGCATTGTGAAGGAACCACGCACCCAGAGTGTGGTCTGACCCTCTGCCCTAGTCTGTGGGGTGAAGCTGGGCATGCTGCATTCCCATTACCTTAGTTCCCCATTTGCGAACTGTTATCACTGTTAC